AAAGTAATAGAATATAACTGCATATCTTTATGGGTTTATCAAAAAATCAATGAGCAATGATAGATGAATGTATTTAAACTATGAAAGAATCAAGATAAATGATTATTTATATATAGCATTTAGTTTCTGTATGCCAATCTACTAAACATTAAGTGTATGTGACGTTTATAATATTTATAGTAATTTAATCGAGATTCAAAGTTTAATACACTAAATTATTTAAATTCAGCTACTAATATTAAATCTCGAATTAATGGATGGAAGCGTATCCTATAACATGTATTCCTCTATCAATTAACAGTTAAGACCGGCAAGCTTATTGCAATTTTCGATTCGAAAAATGTTTGAAATTTTAACTTACGGAGTGTTTACGTAAACAAAAACAATTATTTTTGTTGTAATTATCAGCATCCACTCTCACTTCTATTCAACTTTAAGTCCTTCCTCCCCTCTGGTGAGTAAAAATGGCAACACACTAAACGTATTTTTTAAAACAGTTTTTTTTTTTGACGTAAAACACTAATTTAATTATTACGTTGTTACTTGCGTAATAGACGTTTATATATAACTTAAATTGTCATTTTTTTTATTCAATAATCGAATAGTTTTTATTATTATTTTTATTTAACTGGGCGTAGCGTATTTAACTAGGAAGTGAGTAATTTTGTGGATATAACACTTTATTTACGCTACTCGTGTATATTTTAAAATCTTTTTTTTTTTTTTTGAATTTTTCTTTTGTCGTTTAATGCCGAGAATGTTTCTAGATTGAAAAGATAAGAGAGAAAGAGAAGGGAGAGAGAGCGAGAAGGGAGAGAAAAACGAGGTCAACGAAACCTTCCTCGACTCGCCCACAAAATCCCCGTTTTGTTAAAATAATAATATATATATATTTTTTAGTATGTTATTTAATTATTTCCTGCTTTAAATATGAAATATTAATACGTGTGTACAGTACATATATTTATTTATTTACCGGAAATTCAGATTAAAATTATCCGAGATTCAACTTTTTGTATATATTATTTTATCAATTAGAAAGTGCGGTTTGTTTAGCTTTCATTTCATTCATTTATTTAAAAAAAAAAATAATAATAATAATGCGTTGGAGGATATTACATGTAAAACGATGCCTTGGAGTTTAACCTTGAAGTAGTTAAGGCCCACAGAAGGTCGTATAAAAGTATCGTATTTTTTTTTTTTTTTCTCGTCATTATATAACTGGGATTTGTTAGTGTTGTAATATATACAAATCATACTTTTAATAAATTTATTTACAATTTCTTATTGTTTAAATTAATAAAAATATACTTCAATTAGTTTAAATCAATACTCTTTCTAACGCTAAAAGTAGCGCTAATAATAAATGTTAGTGCTAAGTACAGTTGAATCCGCTTATTGTAATTACAGATATTTTTATTCGTATAAAGATTAGCAGGCCTCAAAGCATACAAATAAAATACACTTGTAAAACTACAAATTATCTTTTAATTAGAATATCGGTTATCGGAGCCTCACAATTATCATTATTTTCAACTAAATGCTTATTTATTCCATTCTATCGGTTTCAACATGTGGCTGATAACGCGTAATTTTAAGTAATGCTTTAAACTAGGGTTCCAGTCTTTTTCGTGTATCGACCCCTTTTTAAAAAAATATTTCTATCGACCTCCCTTCAATTTACATATTATACAATATTATGTATAAATATATATGCAACAGCCTCACGGACGGACGGGATGGGCAAAGCGAACGGAGTTGCAGGAGGCTTCAATAACTTAGGATTTGGATTAGTGACCTTGACGGTTCGGCTGTCCGTCCGTCCTCTCAAGCGCTTACTCTTAATGTTAGCTAACTCGTTCTAGCATTCAGTCTGAAACTGAAATACAGTAGAATCTGCTTCCTGTAATTATTCTGAGAATGGTTTATACCGATAAAATTAGCCGATTAACTGTGATAAGTAAAAATTACAATTATAAAGATTACTAAGTTTTATTGACTCGGATATTAAAGGATTTGGATTTGAATTGAGACAAGACATCGCAACACATAAGCAATCTAGCAAGGAGAGGACTTTCTACCTCTAGATGTTAGGCAGTGGAGAAAACACAGTTCTCATTTGTCTGAACCCACGACCAACTAGTGTTTAGTGGTTTTATTCTCCACTCGATCACTGGTGGGTCTCAATTCAAATCCAAATCCTTTTAATATCCGAGTCAATAAAACTTAGTAATCTTTATAATTGTAGTTTTTACTTATCACAGTTAATCGGCTAATTTTATCGGTATAAACCATTCTCAGAATGATTACAGGAAGCAGATTCTACTGTATTCCAGTTTCAGACTGAATGCTAGAACCAGTTTATGCCAGTTATTCGATTTTTCTCATAGAAAAATGTATCGAATGGATATTTTAATAGTAGTAATAATTCAATGTCATGAATAATTTGTCTACATTCTGGTATATCCTGAGATATTGCCTGAGTGCAATATCGCAAAAACAATAAGATGCATAAAATTTTAATTGATATATGACGACCGTCGTATTGTACAATAGCCTATATATAAAGTCAGAAAACGCTTACTAAACATATAATTAATAGTTAATAATAATAAAATAATAAAATATTTCATTAACGAATTAATTCGTTTTCGTTTAAGAGTGCTTAATTATCTTTATAAATATTGGTACGATAAAAACAAAACTAATTTACTTGTATTACTTTAATATGTTATATATGTTCAGATATGAGAGGAAATCGAAAAGTCTATGCCAACTACTTTTTTTCCCCCTCTCAAAATCCAGTTGTCATTTAAGAATTTCAAAATATGTATTTCAAAGCTCAGCTTATACCTTATTTTTTACTTACAAGTTAGTTTCCAATGCGAGTTAAACATTTCTCCCATCGTGTCACACACAAGTTTGTGGATAACACTCTCCTAGAACGTGTCCAGTTGATTATGCATCCACAGTCGAACTGCTGCCTTAACATCGTCTTCACTTTCAAAGCATTCACAGGATGACTCGTTAACTCCTTGACGAGGTCAAAATGGTGATAATCACAAGATGCCAGATTCAGTTTGTATGGCGGCTGATGAACGACCTGATCTGGACATCCCGGATGCTCTGAACTTCTCACATCACCTCGCCTTACTATCACCTCGCATACTACTTACACCTCGCCGTGATAGACAAACCACTCAAATCTCGATAAATTTTGCTTGTTTTCTTTCCTGGTGATAAAAAAAAATCGAATCACACGTATGTATGTATGTATGTAGTAATTTGATCAGTGGCTGAACTGGAAATTTTACTCTCTTAATTAAGCAAAATATGGTAAAGGGACTTCCAATTCTCCTCCATATTTATGACGGTTAAAATGTATTATAGTTAGATATATTAAAATTTTTTTTTTGTTGTAAACAAATTTAACATCGAATAAGGAAGAAAAAAGTACAAAATCACCAAAAGGACATTACAAAAATAGCTAGTGTTTTGATATTTTTTTTCATTCGTTATTTGTATAATGTACTGTTATTAAATATAATAATTATAGTATATATACAGCATTGTCATTTTTTACTTTTCCGGCTGTTATGTATAACAGAGAAAAAGTATGGCGATCGGTCAAAAAATAACTCAAAATTTTCACATTTTTCGACTCAGGGAATCTTGAAACGTCGAGAAATACAAAAATTCGTTTTTTTTTCTGTATACTATATATTGATATTAGTACATGGGTACGATTTTGTCTACCCTCTGAATCTTAATAACCCGTACTTTTTGTCGAAAATTTCTGAATTTTACAGGGAGGTTTATGTATTAAGAGATTAATGCTATTAAATTTTGAAGGTTAAAGGTCATAGGATGGGGAGATACAGGGGTGTCGTAGTTGTATCTCAAGTAGGGTCGAACTTAATGACGATTATACTCATTATTATATTTACAATTTTTTATAAAACCCATCCCTACTCTCAGAATTAAGCTTTGCCATTTTTATAATACTTAAAAACATACAATTTTTTAAATAAAATATCGTAACAAATGGCCTCACACGCAGTTTTAAATATTGCCGGGAAAGTTAAAGAAATCCAGCAATGAGTTGCTTAATATACAACAATGCAAAATGACAAGTGTAATCGGAAAATATAAACTGTAAAAAAGTGTCTAAAATAAATAGTATATGTTGATTTAATATTAATCGTTTCTAGCTAGAACAAACATAAGTGTTAATAGTTTTATTATATAGAATTTTCATTTATTGTTTCGTAGAAACAGTATGTAGGGCCTGGTTTGGTCCATTAAGCACTGTTTAACGGCGCCTAACAGCAGCTGCGGCACTGAAATTGACAAAAAAATCTGCCATTTTCGAACGCCTGTATTTCCATCGCAACGTTGGAAACCGCAAAAAAAAAAAAAAAAAAATCATATATTTGGAAATTTTAGGACCAATTATTTTTCGAGAAAAAATGCAGTTGGCTAAAGACTTCTCTATTTCTCCTAGCATTTAATATTTTACACTAGAGTACTACTGTACTTAAAAATCATCGCGTTCGGTAATTCGAACTCCCATCACTTAATATGTACTGTATTTTGTTTCGTACATTATCAATTTACTGGGACATTTCCACGAATCACCTGTTGCGTAACTACGAGAACACCTGAGAACAAAATACTATATTAGTCATAGTAGTTTATGTGCGATCGAATGATTATTATTAATCAATAAAAAAATTTCGATAAAGAAAGAAATAATGCTTATTCATATATTTTAAAATATGGCACTAATTATTCAAAGATTTTAATTCTGGAATTATCATCATTCATATATGTATAAATTTCATTTGGAAAATGTAGAAAAAAAAATTCAAAAATGAATTTGACTTTTTATTTTTATTATTAAAAAAATAATGGCATATCATCACAGTTATTCAATAAAATGTTTTAAAGCAAATAAAACTTTACCTTTGTAAAAAGACAATAATCATTAATGATAAACATTTTGCATGAATTATATACAATATGTAATTAACAGCTGTCAGACAATGGACAGACAAATAAAATAGTTTTTGATAGAATTATTTTTAATTCCATCAAATATTTCGTGCTAATTCAACTTATCTATAAAAGAATAAAAAAATTCTAAAGTTCCAAACTATAAAAAATTTAAAAAGAATTTTAATTTATAACTCGTTTTAAATTTTATAGATTCAAATATTTGCTCTTTTGTAGTGATGAAGAGAAAATGAATTTGCCGAAAACGTTAAACAGAATAAAATGCCATAAATTTAACAGAAATTACTTTTTTGTTGTTTCAATTAGAGATGAACAAAATAAATGAAGAGTTATTCCAATGATTGCACTATTATTTTGTGATCTTCTTAATCACGTCTGCTATAGATTTAACTTGAAACGAAACATTTCTCTGTTTGGCATGTGATAGTAGGCCATTCCAATAGAAGTGTTTCTTCAAAAATGCAACGTCACAACACAGTATGAGCGAGTAACGCACTCGAGTGAATGCTACTTTCAGTCTTTGTTTGTCGTTTAGATATCCGACATTAGAGGAATTATTCGCTCCGGCGCAATATAAAATAATGACGTCTTTTTCACGACCCTGAAAACTATCCACGACATTCACTTCCACTTTATACTGATTTTTGTTTCTCCATTCGTCGATAGAATCAAAATATTGATTGAAAGCGTGTTTGTGAGTTTGGTGAAACGTAATTAATCCCACTGAACTGGAAGATGGAAGAATTTTTAAAAGTTCTTTACAAAGTTTGCCGACAAAGACAACTTCCGACATATTCGAAGTCCTGAATTCGTGATCGCTTAGAATATCCAATAAGACGTAAGGTTTTAAAGGAAAACTAAAATTATTTACTTTTGAATTTAATGGATTACACAAAAAGTTTTCGGAAACAAAGCTGCAGATCTCCGAATGCATGCGATAATTTTCCGTTAAACAAAGAATTGGATTCTGTTCCTCCGCCTGTACAAAATATCTTTGAAATCTCTCGAACAAAGACAATTGTAAACCATAATGTATTGCTATTTTCGAAGTGACCGATGCTGGTAATTGTTCTGGATCACCTACTAATATCAGTTTATTGATTCCATACTGAAGAGGTATCAAAACTTCGGGTTCTGTGCATTGAGCGGCCTCATCCACGATGCAACAAGTGAATGTTACAGAGCTATTTTTACCGAAAGCATTCTCTAATGACGTATTCCTGCAACCATTCAAAGTAGAGAGTATTATATCGGCTTTGGTTAGGATGTCCATCCTAAGCTTCTGTTTACATTTATTGATATCATTTCTGTTTTGATATAATTCGAATTTTTGATAGTAATTTTCTAACTGCGATTCTATAACTTCTATCGAGTGTCTAGAATTATTGTTAATTTTTTCTCTCTGTATTTCCATCTTTAATCTAGCGATTTTGATTTGTAGCTCATTCATATTGATCTGATCCAGATCTTTTTGTAATTCTTTCAAATTATGTTTTACTAATTCTTCAATGAAATAAAACTTTAAATCTCTGTGCACTTGATCACCCTGGCCAATTCGTACGAAACGAACGTTTTTGCCATCAGGTTTCTTCAGTTGTGATTTCATCTTTAGGAGTTGTATACCGATCTCGTCCACAGCAATATTAGAAGGAGCTGTGACTAGAAGTTTCACACGCTGTTCTCTGTCTTTCTGACACAATAATTGACGAATAATTCCTACTACGGTGTAAGTCTTTCCAGTTCCGGGTGGACCGTCCAATAAATGGATTTTAGAAAGTGACTGTGACTGGCAAATGCTTTTACATATGCGAGATATCGCTAGAATCTGTGTTGCATTATAATTTTCTTGAAGCGTAAAATCAATATCTGAATTTTCTTCACAAGAACAAATACTGCAATCGGGTTTAAGAATGTGATGATACAGATTACTCTGTGTAAAGTTAAACAAAGCTTCACAATGTCTTAGCAGAGGTTTTATATAAGAAATCATTTCGATTTTCATTAATTTAGATAGATCCAGATTTTTGTCACGCAATTTCATTTTAACTACGAATGAAATTAACTGAATATTTTCTTCTTTGCAAATTGGAAGCATGGTTAGTAAAGAACTAACAGTAGTACCGTTACCTGGTTTGTAATTTTCTTGTTTATGCTCTGATATATAACCAAATACCTTTATTACTGCATTTTCTACATTTTGGATTCTTAAATCGACGACGACAATATTTCCCTCGAACGGATAAGATTCTTTATCGAAAGGTATCTTTGGTGATATTACAGTCTGGCAATTTATAATCATCGTATCCATACAAGTCTTAGTATCAACGACTGCGAAGTAAGTACTTTTGCTCTTCTTTTCTAATGTAATTTGCCAAGATCGAAACATACAGTTCCATATCTCCAACAATAATAAATTTATATAAGTGTTAAAATATTCTTGTTTAGAGTTATAAAATAGTGCGACCTTTCTTAAGGATGATTGATCAACAATGGGTGGTGGACTTAGATTATCTTTTTGTTCTAGAAGCCAGTTTGCATTCCACTGCAAAATTTTGGTAATCACATCTTCTAAAGTCGTCATAGAAATTTCTGGAACTTCTTCCAACGTTTCTTTCGTGATAAATTTTTCCGTTTCTTTTATATTCTCTCTCTGTCTCGGATATTTAAATTCTACTGTACCGTTAGTTTTATTTTCGGTTTTAGAAAAGTGACCTTTTTTTGTTTTGCAAGGAGACTCTGAAAAGCTTTTTCTTTTAAAATTTTTGTTGACTTCAGTGTGAAGGACCTTCTTATTTTTGTTTCGAAAATTGGGTTTTTTATCATTAAATTTTCTCGTTTTATCGTTGAATTTTTGTTGCGATTCTAGCTTCAAATGTTTCTTCACTTCGGTTTCTTTTGTATCAACGGCTTCGGTTTTTGGTCGTATTTTCTTTGGAATTTTATAATTTTGAAGGGAATTAAACTTTGAAATAATTTCTTTAGAGATGCCTTTGACAGGCTTTTCATTATTTGTCTTATTACTTTTAGAAACAATACTTGATGTAGTATCGACAATATTTGATTTCTTTTTGAGTATTTGCATCTCTATTAATTTCCTTTTTATGCATAAATCAATGTTTATTTTGTCTGTTTTGTCATTCCGTGCTTTGGCTTTCTTTGTTGTAGAGGTTTTTGCTGTTGGATATGACAATTTCATTGATGCATTCTTATTGGTAGAATACAAATTACTCTTTTTCTTTTTTTGCTTCTTTTTTAACTGAAGTTCTTTTTCAATTTTTTTAATTTTTCCCTTTGTCTTTTTTATTCTTTCTGAAGAACTTAAATTGCAATCATTATCCAGTTTCTGTGAAGGAGGCTTATCATCAATAATTACTTCACTCTCTGCAATACATGCAGCCTTAATATATGAATCTTTTTCTATATTTTCTATTGGCAATTGATTTTCGAATTTTCGAATCGAACATTCTTGTATATCTTTAATAATACACTTTTGTGTTTCTTGATGGTTATTTTCAATATGGGGATAAAAGTGATTCGATGAATCTCCAGAAGAGCTACGTTTCATCTTATCGTGAGCATCTTCTAGAAAAGGCGATGAAAGTAACTTTTTCTCTTCTGCACTTTCACCGCTCTTATTCAAATTGTTACTTACGTTGTCCGGAGAATTCATATTTTTAGGTTTTATCTCGTTTATATTGCTGTAACTCGATAGTGTTACAGTTTCATCACTTTGTACGCATCCTGAATTTTTAACATTTTCATTATAATCAAAACTGTTAAATAACAATATATCTTCGTTAACAATTTTACTGGTCTCCTCTTTGCTTATTTCACCAACTATTTTTGAGGATTGTTCACATTCCATTTTATTTCTTGGGTGGAGCAGAATGGAAGATTCTTGTACGTCGTTCAATTTACATTTATCATTTATTTCTACTGACATGTTTCTATTTGAAATAAGATTTTCATGAAAATTATTAGTTTTATCTGAGTTGTTTAAAGTTAGATCTTGGATATTATGATCAGCTTCGTAGGAAGCTTCATTTAAATATTTTTTCATGGAAAAATTCACTTGTTTAGGAATGTTTATCAGTAAACTTTTCTCGATAGACGCAATAATTTGTAAAATTTTTCCATCATTTTTATGGAAAGAAGATTCATCCTCTTCCATGTTTGCAATTTTGGCATTGTTTCTTGTGGATATTGCGTGTTTATTTGAAGTGTTTGATGCATTTCTTTTCAATTTCCAATTTTTTAAATAATAATCGGAATTTCTTCGTTTTGTTTTAATATTTTGAGATAAACAGTTCTTATTCCGGCATAATTTGAACATAAAATGCTTTTCTGAATCAGCTGATGCACTTCCTAATCCAATAATATCAGATTCTTGTACACAGTACACACTCTTAGTGTCAATTTTCTTGAAGTTAACAAAAACACCATTTGTACTTTGTAGATCTTGTATAATCCATTCGTCGTCTGAAGTCTTTTCGAAGCGAACATGTTTTCGAGATATATTGGGACTCTCTTTGAGATGTTTATTGCTACTCCTTCCGATAACAATTGCAGTTTGGTTCAAAGGTATTAATAAACACTTGTCGAAATTTCCTATCCTTAGTAAGAACCATTCTGTTTGAATAATTCTTTCAGAAACCAAATTTTCTGCAACTTCTCCGTGCATTATACCTAAAGTAAGAGAAAGATAAACATTTTAGATAAACATGCTACAACTTCAATTTTTCGTAAATTTGGATCTTGTCAATTAATATATGCATTCGTAAACGATTGGTAGTAATGCAGAATTTTCACACTAACAAATTTGTTAAAACATTATTGGCATTTGACGATATATTCAGACTAACATACGACCTACTTTGCAATAGTTAGAAAATTTTCTGTTTATGATTTGTCAGTGTTTTAAAACCAATTTTAGATAATTAATTAATTTTTACATATTAATTCTAGTATTTAATTAAAAAAGTTAACATTATGACTTGAAATCACCTCGGGGATAAGCATATTACAGTAAACTAATCACGAATCAGGCGAATGCTCGATATGCAAATTTACAAACGCATTCTATTGTGCACACAGACTGACCGATGACATCAGCTGTGTTGCTTGATTACGTGCACACAACCAGTTCTATACAATACACTGACAGCTCCGTCGTTCACTTGAGTATTGATCACAAACAGGAATAGGAAGTTAACGTTATTGCTTGTTATTATTCTTTTTTTAGTTAGTAAAAACAACACAAGTACATTTATTAATGCCTATTCTACTAAGGTAACATTCTTTTATTAGTGTCATTGATAAAAAATATTTTAAATATTTCATTTGATTTTTATATCAAAATAAATATTACAAATAAGTCGGAGATTGGATAATTTCAAAATGATCGGAAAAGACAAGGAATGCTTCAATCATTGCAATCAAATCGTGCAATAAATGTCGAGCTGCAAAGGATCAATCTCCGAATCATCTGAAAGCGGTCCATAAAATAATAATCGACAAGAAAACAAATGATCTACGAGCATAAAACACTTCGACCCTCCTCCTGCCCACAGAAAACAGCCAATATTTTATGCATTTTAGAAGAAATTATGGGAAATTACAGCAATGGTTATATTATCAATTAATAGCGTTACAACGAGCTCGTTCATACGAGTTTGCAATAATGGGGATATTCATCATAAAAAAAAAATTTCGAGTAACGATCTCATTCACAATTTTTACCACAATGCCAAACGTGATACTATAAATTATTGGTTTGTATTAATAGGAAAAAATTTTCTATAACTTCAGAGGAGTCGACTGGCAAAAGAAATCTTACATATTTGAATATCAACGCAAGTAGTAGTGATCTGACATCTTGAACTATATGTATTTTAACAAGCATACCCTTCTAGACTATACTGTAGAAGTATAACTTGACAATTTATCCCAATAAACTGACATAGGTAGAAGAAACAACTATAAAGCAATTTAAAAACTTATTTTGTATTTTTAATAAATGTATAAATCGTATACATTTTAGTTAAATTTATTATTAAAGTATAAATGATATACATTTTTTAATACTTAATACAATCTTAATTAATAAATTTTAGTTATATATTAATTATTGAGATTACACAGTTTTTATTTAAAATACAGTACAATATTGGTTAACATACATTAATAATTTTCTAATGTTTTAGTACATTCACCAAATCCTTTATTATTTTCTTATTGTTACACTTAGAAAATACTTTTCAATACAATTTGGACTCTTGCTATATTTACAAAATCCACAAAATATTTCATCAAAGAAATCTAGCGTATTTCTATTACCTTCAAAATTCGATATTATTAAGTTATCTGGAAAAATATTGTCTAGAATATATCCAAATTCTTGTATGGAAGCAGATTCCGATGATGAATATATCGGACAGAGAGCGAGAGAGGGGGGGGGGAACTATTAATAAGTACTGTACAATGTCGGTGAATTTGCTATTTTCGTACCGAGGGTGATTTCCAATATAGATAATTATTATAACTATCGTAAACTAATTATTATAACTATCGTAAAAGTTTTTTTCTTAAAATTATTTAATCGTAATGAAACTGGAAAGAATTATGTCAGAGTCGTATAAAGCAGTGTTTCTCAACCTCTAACGAATCGTCGCCACCTTCACTTCAAAATTCCGATGCCCAGGGCCAAGGCTAACGCCAAATTCGTACTTCATTGAATAGACTAGTGACTAGTATAATGTTATTTGTTTAATTATTGTACGATATAACGAATAAAATATGTAATTATTCTTAATGTAATGTTTTACTATATCGCCCAGAAAATTGTTTTTTGCCCCCCAAAATATAAATTGTTACTAATCGCCCCTTCAACATGGAAAAACGCCCACATGGTGCGATATCGCCCCCATGTGGGCGTTTTCGCATGTTGAAGGGTTACCAAAGTTACCATGTTGAAGGGTAAAGGGTGCAAGGGCACGCTTTATACCATTGTTTCACAACGGGGGGCGATATAGCCCGTTGAGAAACAATGGTATAAAGCGTGTCCTTGCATTAAAAAAATATTGTAAATGTAAAGATTTGAATAAATTATCCCAAGTACCTAAATGCTGTGATACTTTAGAACAGAATTATATACAGCACAGAAAATCGTTATTTTGGATTTTCCTACTTTTTCTGTTCTTATTAACCATTGTTTGCTAGGATATCTTTCAAATTTGAAGTTAAGTGTAAGTTATAGTCTTTTATAGAAAGTAACTGCCATAATTACGTGATAAAATTTAACTCTTACTCCCTTTAATAATTTTAAAGGCTATAAATTTTTGCATGCATTTTTGCAATACATAAAACAAACCATCTTTTCATACATATAATGTTAAAGAATTGTGTTTTTTCTTAAAGAATGAAACGTAAACGTTGTCATTCCATAAAATAATATCACATTATGTGGATGAAACATAACAAAAATACTAAACTTATAGAAGCATCAGTGCTTTTCCTAATTTTTACCAGTCTTGTGGAATAAAGTAATAGTTGAATGGACCATAAATAAAAACATACGAAATAATAATATAAAATATCGTGTTATTCATAAATACAACCTTTCTTTCTTTACCCATACAAATGCGTACAGACACACAAAAACGCACACACTCATATTAAAGGGTATTTGAAAAAGATCGTACAGAAGCTAATTCAGTGTTTGCATGTGTCTGTCCGAAATTCACATATTATATTATTGGACTAATCCGTTCAACTAGTTTATTAGTTTCATATGAAACTAACAGCAAAAGTGTCATTTACTGGTAACATTTTCTAACATTACTATTACATACCATGTTTTAGCATATCAAATATAAATTACCATTGTTTTTATTTCATGCGAATAAAAGCGAACAAAAAGAAAAAATATGGAGGAAACATGTGACGAAATCTTAATTTAACCGAAGAAAATTAGAAAAAAATCTTAATTTATACGCTATTTTGTCTAAATTACACAAAGTTAAACTTAAAAAGTGAGAACGTGGGAAAAGATTTCGATTATAACTTATTTGTGGAAAAAGTAAAGGTTTTATACAACCATCAGTGATTGGTTCACACTCAAATCTGACATATTATAATGGAAGTAGCTATAGACAATAACAAGAAACGACAAACAAAGGTTGCCGACATTTGCCGTCGCTTTAAATTTCATACTCGTGGGCAAAGAACCTTTAGTATCTAACGTCCAGTAGATACTAAAGACTATAAGACTCTCCCACCTGTTAATTGATTTCCTGACTTTTTGTTATCAGAGCAGTCCAATTTCAATCAGATTTAGAACTGAGGAAAAAAATAAATCAGCAACGAGTTGCTCAACTTTTCCTGCAACATTTAAAGTTTTGGTGGCGCCATCTGTTGTTATATTTTATTTCAAAAAATTTATATTTTTAACTACAGTATTATAAAATGGCAAAAAGCTTAATTTTGTGGCTAGTAATGAGTTTTATAAAAAAAAATGTATATGATAATGATGATTCTACCCGTTATTAAGTCAGACTCTACTCGAGATAACCCTTTATCTCTCCACCCCCTCGACCTTTTAACCACTAAAATTTAATAGCATCAATCTTCCTTAATAAACAAACCTTCCCATAAAATTTCAGAAATTTTCGATATAAAGCACATAAGTTATTAAGCTTCAAACAGGGTGAACAAAATTATGCTTTCCCCACACACTAACATCCATACATACAAAAATTACCCCCCGAATTTTGTTGCATTTCTTGACACTTCAAGGTGTCCTAAGTCCAAAAATATAAAAATCTTGGGGAGAGTTATTTCTTTTTCCCTACGTCATACTTTCCCTCTGCTATATATATAAGGGACTGTCCATAAATTACGTAAGGGCGATTTCGGCCATTCTAGACCCCCCACCCACCTCTGTGTAAGAAACCGTAATCCTGTATTTCCTTTGATCCTCCCTCCCCTTCTCTATCTTACGTAATATTTAAGCATGTTTTTATAGAAAGATTTTAACAAAAAATAATTTCTTTATGAAACCCTAAAAACCTCAAGTCCAAAATATATAATTAATAATTAGTTAATTAATATGTACAGTACATACTATTGTTTATAAAAGACTTTATGTGAAAATTTAAAAATATAAAAATTTAATGAATTCGAATGAACAATTTATTTTAAGAACTTTAATTTTTAATTATTAACAATCTTTTTATTATTATTATCATCATCATCAATCAACATCATAATATTAATTTTTATATAAATTTTAATTTTCACAGAAGGACGCAAAAAATTTTGACAGCTCGACTAGCTAGTTCACGCTGCTATACACCATGGGTTAATCCTCAAAGGAGTAACCATGCATGCCTGATTTTGAGTCATCCTGGATGTGTGGGGGGAGGGAAATTTAACAGCTTCGGCGAACTATACCGACCACCTGAGTAGAATCGGCCATATTCTTTAGGTTAATTCTCAAAGGAGTAATCATGCATGCCTGACCTTTATAATTCTTGAGAGTTTATTAGGGGTACAATTTAACAGCTTCGCCGACCTGTACCGACCACCTGAGTAGAATTGAAAAACCATTTGATTTTCCTGGCGCAGTGTCAGACTGCGCGGGCCGACCTAAACGTGTGTGAGAACAATGTCTCGTGAATGTTTGGAAG